AAATTGTCCTGTTAATTTAAATCTTTCTGAAACTTTTCCAGTTATGATGGGGACACTAAAGCTCAGAGGAATTGAATGACCCACATAAAACTTGACAGCTAAACAGTGGTAGAACTAGGTTTCCTAAGGCTCTACTTCCATAATGCTTTCCAAACCATGTCTTCTCTTTTTGAATGCCTAACCTCATTTCTTATATCCTGTATTTTTAGGGATCCTCATTAAAATACCTCATTCATTCAAATGAGTGCACTGAGTTGCCTTCTTTAAAATATCCCATCCTCTCTAACCCCTACATTCTTCTAATGACAAATAATCTGAAAAAATATTGTATATTTTAGCTATTTCATAACATACGATAATCCTTTAGGGTGAAAAAAATTAAACTGGAGACATGACCGAGATTCAGGTTTACTTGTTACCACAGACCCATTTGGCAATTTAGTGAGGTTTTTGGATTCCTTCTTAGACAATGTTTTCAAATAAATAAAAGAAAGTGCATCGGTTTAAGAGGCAAAACAGTTATACTGAAATATGGACATCCAAATAGTTACAAAGCTAGCTTCAGGTTGTAGTCACATCTGTGCATCTTTATAGATAGATTAATTAACAAGAGCCCACTACAGCACTAAAAGACACCAAACAAACCAAAAAACTAACTTTGAAGTGGTTTGAAAACTGCCCTAGTCAAAAGATAAATTTAAATTATAATTAATAATAATTATGATGATTTTATTATATCTATAATAATTCTAATAAATGTAACATTAAAATATTTGTTATTTCTGTTGGTAACGAAGTCACAGTACTACTAATACTACTGAGATGTATTGCCCATATGCATACATAAAAGAAAATGCAACTTTCTTTCTAGGGATTAGTGGAAGGAAGATTGAATTATTTTTCCATCTGAGTCCATGGATCCTCTGAATTCCATCCAGGGAAACATCCTTCCTGAGCTACTCAAGCCCCTCTAAGTTATGGACCCTGCTTTAGTGATATGGAAAGATTTTGAGCATCTGAATCTTTTTATGCGGTCAGCTAGACTGAAATTAGCCTGTAGGGGGCTCCTTTTTCTTTCTACTGAAAACCTGTCAACCTGTCATGTTTTGACCAAGTTGGCAATTGTGTGGATTACTCTCTGAAGTCTTTAAAGTGTATCCTAAAGTAAATAGGTAAGAAAAAATACTGTAAGTATATACTATTTGAAGACTCCTGAATAAAACTTCAATATGTCTCTTATTCTAAAGTCATATTATAAGTTAGTGCCATGATAAAATATTCAAGTGAAGTCATTTTTCTGCCCCTTTGGGATTAGAAAATGCATAGTGTAAGACTAAAAGGGGGAGAAAAGGCTTCCTTCAACTCTACTAGTTTATTCAGTAAAAATGAATAAGCCAGTTCCTGTCTTGGAGCCTTGCTTACCATGTATTGCAGTTCATTTCCAGGATAAATGATGGCAATATGTATATTTATAGAAGAAAGTAATTGAAATTTAGAAAATCCCTATTTGGAAATTTACTATATCCTGGGAAATATCACATTTAATCAGTTATTGAGGTTTTGTGCCAAAAATAGGGCTGTACTGCTAGATATTTCACTTCTGACTTATATTTTTATTTGTGTTTTAAGTAACATTACTACCTTGCTTGCATTGAATACATATAATAGGACCTAGATGCTAAGAACAAAACTTCTATTAATATACCATTTTAATTGATAGATTTTCTTGCAAAAATTCATATTTTGTATACAATAAAAATATGGATAGCTATATAAGGAAATAATGCCTATTGAAATTTTAAATGCCCAATTTCTCAGTAAAAATGAATTAAAGAGAGCAATTATAAAGATATCTTTTTATACTCTAGTCAGACAGAGAAAAGTGAAGTCAGCCCAATTGGGATTTTTAAAATATGACCATTTCATTCCTTCTCCTAGAATATTTAGTACTATAATGGTAATTATTTTTACTAAAAATATATCTAACATGACGACTTATTTTATACAATAATATTGAATTAAATGTTGAAAGACAAAAATCAGGGTCACTGATATATTCAGAAAATTAAATTTTTCAAACTGCTTATGTAAACACTGTTAACTGATCTTTTTATTTCTTATTTTATTCAAGGTATTTTTTTAGTTGCTGATGAAGTAAAATTGTAGCACTATATATAAAACAGCATTACACAAAGCCCATGTAAGTGATGTATAAATTGTACTATAGAAGTCAAAATAAGAACCCAGTAGTTGAGAAGGATATAAAAAATAAACAATAATATATCACCTTTGTAAAAACTATATGAAGTACAATGATCTAACTCTCAGCTCTTCCTTGAAGGTAAAATAATCAACAGTCACATAAAACAATAAAACTAAAACAGTTCCATAATTTATACACACAATTTCATGAGTTTCCTCAAGGTTATATAGGTTAAATAACTCTTATTCTTTTGAGATACGTTGTGAGGACTGAGGGCAAAGATTACAGTGGCTTTATTTTTCTACCTTCATAGGACATTATGAAAGAAGAAAATATCCATTATTTAATAGTCATAAGAAATAAAAAAGATACCTTCATAAATCTGTAAACAGTTTTCTTCAATTTAATTTTATGATTAAGAAGCTGCAAACCTTATTTATTCCATTAATTTCTCTCTTATTTTAAGATTCAAGTCATAACCACATTGCTCAGGAAAAAAAAGTATAAGAATCATCTTTTAAACCATCTGTGCCAGAAAAATTAGTGAAAGGAAAAAAAGGGCATGAGACAGTCATGAGAACAAATGTTCATGTGACTCAAACTACTAAATGTCTCAAAACTCCCAATAATCAATACTGCCAATAATAAGCTCAAATAGAAGTTTATTTTTATTGAATTTAGTTCATTTTTCTCTTGAGCATATAACATTTTGTGACAAATATGAATTCTAGTATATTAAACTGTGTTTAACCTAACTTCAGAAATAGAGAAAATTCAGGAAGTGCATTTTATGAGCTCTGTTTCAGTTTTTATCTTATCTTATTATATCAAAAGTTGATTTTATTATATTTTGGCAACTTGAATACATGATATAAATTTCAGACAATAAAAAGTTTGGACTTAACACACAAAAAAAATCCATGAAATTCTTACAGCCACAATACAATGTGAGGCATGGCTGAGAGCAAGAACTTTAGGCATGTGTCTTTCCAGGAAGATTGTGAACTCATGAAAGAAGAGAACTATGGTCCCATTACTTATTATTCAAAATAGTACTTTACCTATCATAGATGTTTAAAAATGTGCTAAGTGAACTATATTACACAGATGTAAAACCACATTTAGAACTGGAAAAAAACTGTGTCACAAAAGCTCCAACTAATTATTAAATTTTTTTTAAAGTGCAGAAAAACTGAGGAATAAAATGAAATTCAAAGTTTGTGAGTTTTGTCTCTCATTTGAAAATACAAGGCATTAGCCAAGGGACACAAAAATTTAAATTAAGAAGGCAGAAGAAAATGAAAATGAAAACTATTAATTTGTGACATTTTTTAAAAAGAAAATCTTAAATCTTGGTTCTAAGTTTTATATTATTCATTTCTACTAACCACATATATGAATATATTAAAAGCAGTCATTCTCTTCTAAAACATGAAGGATATTTCACAGCTGCCTAAACAACCTTTTAACAAAAGCTCCTGCATGCAAGCAGGCCAAAGTTGAACAAGTTTTTCTTGGTAACAAAACTAAGAAGAGAGAACAAGAAAGCAATAAAGAACAAAGTTATTATGAAGTCAAGGAATGTTTGTTCAGGACATCACTCATTCCTATAATCTGCTTGATTTTAAATTTTATTACAAAAGATGTCTAATGGCTGTAAATAGCTTCCCAAAAAGGAAAAAAAAAAAAGTTACTGGATTTAAGTACTTTTTCTGAAATTTAATTTTGAAAATTCATGTATTCTTGTCCTTTAGCTGCCATTGGGAATTCGGAGCATATTCCTGAAGTCTGCAGAAGACACAAGAAAATTCTAAGAGAGTACAAAGTGCAGATGCTGCTCTGATCCAAGCAATGGAAGTCTTCTTCACTTCAATTAATTTACTTTGCCTTTATGAACTTAAGAATCTTTCAAGGAGGTTGACATTTCGTTCATCTGAAAAAGCTTGGAATGTGACAGGGGAAAGGGAGGAGAAATAAATCAAAGGGGGGTAGCAATTTTCCAGATGCAATGTATTTTTCTTCTCTTCTTTCCACCAGAAATTTTAGAAAACCTTCTGACATCTTAATTCTCTATGCAAAACCACAGTAGCAAAAAATGCTTAAGGCATGACATGTCAAGAAACAAACACTCACCCACACGTGAGCATACACATGCATGCAAAATAAATATAAATTCTGATTCACTTCTCCTTTAACTCAAGATGTTACATTTAGTATATTTTTATTAGATGTTTGAGTACAGTTTAGTCAACACAATTTTTATTTAAAAGCAACAGCAAATTTTGTAACTTTCTTTTTGCTTGTGTGTGATAACTGTCACTGAGTCTATACTGTTTTTTTTTTCATTACAGAGATGGCATTTATTAAATAAAAAAAAAAAAGAACTGCCCCTCTGACTATATTTTAAATCACACTGGAATATTTCAGTTATCACCTTTAGTTACATGGTTTTAGGAAACTATGCCCAAATATTTCACGCAAAAGTTAGTCACTTTAGAAGAACTCTTTTTTTTATAGAGTGGAAATTCACTAAAACATCCAAGGTAAAAAAAAAAAAAAAAAAGGAATCTTTGAGCTTGAAAATAAATTCTCTGCGACAGGGGATATGCCCATTGCTTCTTGGAGGCAGAGAGAAAGAAATGGCAGTTAACTCCCCCCAACACCCTGGTTCAATATTTACCTGACAGCTTTGGTATCTTGACATTCTCCCCGGTGCATTTCCTCCTTTATCGGGTATTATTTTACAAGGGATTTCTTGTTATACAGAAGTACCATAAATCAATCTCTAACAGAGGAATTTGTTTAATACATTTATTCTTTTAAGAAGTTGCATGATCATATTTCATTGACTTGTACAATAGAAAAAAAAACTTACTACTAAAACAGTTTGTGGAAACTGGTGCATGGCAAACCTATTTAGGCTTTTCAGAGGTTCATTCTTAGATTTGCACGTTAAATAATTACAACTATTCACTTAAGCTGGTCTCACTGAATCTCTTGACCTTTAACAATCCACACACAGCAGCTTATTGTGGTATCATTTAAATATGAGAAATAAGAATGTTTTACTTTGCTATCAAAAGAAAAATAAAAAGAGTACTATATGTTACATGGCCCATGAGATATTGGCGGTATGCTCCTTGGCTTTCATTCGAAGAACCGCGATACTGGAAGACCTTCTTTCAAACTCTGGCTTTGTTTCAAATGCGTGTCCATTGGTAGCCCCAGTAAGAAGAGAGTCAGTGAAAAAATTATTGAGGGGCACGTGGCTGAACTGGTTCTGGTGGTTTGAAAACCCTGTGTAACTGGAATCTGTCCGAGGCGAATGAGAATAAGGTGTCATACAGGAGGAAGTGTCACGTGGTAACATGCATGAAGTAACCACAGAACCACTGCTCGCATTTCCTGCCCACAAATTGTTCTGAATCTGGAATATATAAAACAACAAATATTACATTTACGTGTTCTCACTTAGGTTCTCTTACTTTTGTTATGTTGTATTTACTAAATTTGGTTAACTATTCATTGTCTGCCCCTGTTGGGTGGTCTGTAATTACATTCTAAGAACATAAAATAATGACTGAAAAATAATTACTTGAAAGATGCTTGCAGTGTTTTATATTGAAGTAAATCTCTAAAACCCACATACTTGGTCACATAAAATACTCTCTAACATGTGAAACTCTGGAGTATTCTTTTTACAGTCATATTTTTTTAATGAATTTGGAAATTTAGTTATGATTCATGACCCACTTGTAGGCTTAGAAAAGTGGTTTAAAATCTGCTTTTAAGTTTAAAGATAATTTGCAGCTTTCTTTAAAAAAGACAAAAATAATTTTTTTAAGTTCTAAAGCTGGACTCTGTGTGGCAGTTTTTTGTTGAAAGCCATTACTTACAATTGACTGTTTCATAAAGATATTTTTTATTAAGCTCATTCTGGAAAATGTTTGCCCTCTCATTGGTTTTGTATACTACAGTCTTAAATTGATAACCCTGAGATTCTAATATATATGCATTTTAAACATTCTATTATTTATATACAATACAGTGAATCTGAAACAAACACATAACATGTAAAACTAGTGTAGAATTCTAAAACATGAGCCATTATCAAATAATGGACGCACAACTGAGAAAGATATGCAAATATCTGCAAAAATAGTATAATATGAATATAATTGAAGTAGTATATAACAACTTATATGAGTAAAAACTATATCATCATTTGTACCCAAGAAATTGCATTTCATATTATTACATCTTTACAGAAAATAATTTAATAAAATATTAACAAGCATACATTTCTCTAAAGCTACTAGCGTGCATGGTAAACACTAAGTAGAATTTATATAATATTAATTTTAAATAGAAAATATTTCCATCTTAATAGACAAGCTATTTAAATAGACAAACAAAAACAGTGATCGCGTGCATTACTGGCAAGCACAGAGAAAATTTAGACAAACGGCAGGAGCTGGACAAAAGGAAGAGAAAAATGGCATAACAATTCAGAGAGATGTAGCAATAGAAGATAAAATAACATTGTATGCTCTTTGCAACATTATTATAATACATTTGAACTAGAACACAGCATCAATATATATGTTCATACCATCAGGATTTCTTTCTTTTTTTTTTTTTTTTTTTTTTGAGTTGGAGTCTTACTCTGTCGCCCAGACTGGAGTTCTGTGGCCGCTCCCGGCCACTGCAGCCTTGACCTGCTGGGCTCCAGCGATCCTTCCGCCTCAGCCTTCCGAGTAGCCGGAATTACAGGCATGCGCTATCACGTCCGGTTGATTTTTTTTATTTATTGTAGAGATGAGGTCTCGCCAAGTTGCCCAGGCGGATCTTGAACCCGCGGGCTCAGCCTCAGCCTCCCAAAGCGCGGGATTACAGGCTGAGCCACCGAGCCCGGCTACATCAGGATTTCTTATCTTTTAAAATCATAATTACAAGAATGGAATTATCAATTATTACAATACATACATTTTCCTATGCTTATTTTTTTACATAAATATTCCAGACCACCACATATAACCTCTCCAGTATTCTTACAACACCCCCACTTCAATTGTACTATCTATAAAAACTTATTTTCAATTAAGAGCAAAAATTTTGTTAATAAATCCTTCATATCACAATAGTAAATAAGCTATTCTGCTGCTCAAAAAAAGACTAATGAACCAGTTTAAAAATGTTAGACAAAACCTAAATAATTTCAACCCATAAGTGATGTTTCACAGATTGGCAAGGTGCTTATACATGTGTGTTGTCTTTAAAAATAGTTCATTATATAAATATACATAAGCTGATTTAAATTTGTTAAATATTTACATATAAAGGCAAATAAGTCTATTATATCTATATCTAGACATATCTATAAGATTTGCATATTTTATTAATACTTGAATCACCATATAATATGTTGTTCTAATTTTAGCTCACTCTGCTGCATGTTTTCCATTTTACTCTACTATATGTATGTATTTCACTTTAGTCAAAATATAGTGTTCAATACTAACGACTGCTGAGTTATATATCTCAAACTAGCAAGGGGGCTGTTAATGTCATTATTCTCTCAAACTAACCCGTCTAGCCTAATCTGGGTGATTTTCCCCTGACACTCAATCATATATTGTGCTACTTGGCAAAAACCCCAGTCACATGTCTGACAAAAGAGCCTTCAGAAATGAAAGTGAACTTGTTTGCTTATTTGTGAAAAAAAAAATGAAAAACAAGATAATGAAGAAGAAAGATAAAATGTACATTTGTGTTAAATTTCTCAATTTATACGTAGTGTTGCTAGAATTTTTATTAAAATAATCAATCATATTCCAAATGCAAAGACATATATTCACTAACTAGGTAAAAAAGGGAAAGTAAGGAAGGGAAAGGCAAGAAAGGTAATTTATGAATGTAAACTAAGAAAATACTGTCTCTCTAAAAGAATTAACTAATCTTCCTATAAATTGGAAAAAAATTCTAAAATTCATGACATTGGCAAAAATGTTATTTTTATCAAAACTTCTTATCTGGACACGATCAAGTATGTTAAGTGCATTACTTTTGATGAAAGAATTTCTAACATATAGACATGTTTTCTGAGCACAACAGACTGGTTAAAAAGATTACTATGTTTTAGGGGTTCAAGAGTTACCCAAACATCTGAAGACTTTGCTGTTTATGCCTGTGGGTAGAGATACTCTTACACATCTTTACTAATATATCCTGTTCCCATGATGTCTCTCCCTCCTCTGCATCCTGACTCTGGTCTGTCTTTCATTTTTAAATTTCTAACATGTCTTCATTTGACTTCAGGATCTTGTTTGTTTTCATATTGAAAGTTTAGACACAAATCATGAACGATAATTTCCCCAGTAAACTGTGATTTTACTTCCTCTGATGAATTCCCCTTGGATGTTTAAATATTGATGATGCTGATCAAGATCATATGATAGCTAATGGTTGTCAGTTAATTACCATGTGTCAGGCATTGTTAAATGCTTTGTGAACACTTTTATGTGAATACATTAAACAGTGTATGATTTTATTATCAGCATATTGAGAAAGGTAAAGCCGAGAGCAGAAAACAACATCCAAGATTGTGTAAATCTAATGGTGACGATCAAATCTAAATCCAAAACATCTTAAGAAATGCTGTAATATCATAACTAGTTTTGTGGGTTGAACTTGCTTATGTATTTATTTGTTTATTTATTCATAGTCCCAACTTTGTGGGGATTCATGAGCTCTGTTCTCTGAAAGTAAAACTCACAATTTCGCTCACAACTGTTTCCTCTTCCTCAGACCTAACGCAGTACATGGTAAATCATTAGTCAAAATGTACTGAGTAATAGAAAAGTCTCTAAGAACAAAACTTTTATACTGGTCCATCCTGCTGGTGTGATCAAAGTTTTATGAACAACTTATGCTGATATCTCTAAATGGTGTTTCATGACTTAAGCTCCAGAATCACCATATTCAGTAATCTTAACAGAACTCATGAAAATTATTTCTTAGATCTTATTGACTAAGTTTACTTAGGCAGTTCCTAATCTTTCCTGTTAGACATGTATTCTCCACAAACAGACACATATCCTTGGAGATTCTGATTCCTTTAACATTGGGTGTGGCTCAAGGGATCTCTACTAATATAATGATAATAATAACAATAATAATACTCATATGCAATTCTGTAAATCAACTAAAACTGAGGAATACTATTGGAGTCCAACATCTTTCCAAATACAGAAGCTCCTTGTACATTTTCAATTCTGTTTACTTCTATGATAAGAGGCTCACTCCAAAAACATATTTCATTTCTTTGGATCTCTGTAAAAGTGAGTTGTTCTCTTCCTCTACCTGTAACATCTACTTGTTACTTAAAATGATTCAGAAGATATCTTCAGCTAACTATGACACAATCCCCAAATCTTTCTTTTCTCCAGGAAAACATCTCCAGTCCTTTTACCATGCTTCTATGAGACATGATTTTCAGATTGTGTAACATTCCAGTCAAGTTCCTCTGTATATAGTTGAGGCTGACAAGACTCTTCACCCTTATCAATATATAGCATCTACAGCAGAATATCTAACATACCCTAGATATCATCTGATCATCTTTGTCCTAGACCATCTACTTTTGTTAATTACTGAAGGCAATATTTGATTAAAGAACACTTGTTTGAGCTTATGATTAACTAAATATACTGCTATCAAGGTGGGCTTATTCTGTTTCTCCATCCCTAAATCTTATACAGTATAGGTGGTGATTTTTAAACTATGTGCTGGGATCTGTAAATCACCATATCTGAAAATGGATATTACTTATTTGTCAACAGGGAAGCCTATCAAAATCTCAATCATGACTCATTTAAAAATTGTATTTGTTGTTAAATTTTAAATAAACAAGGTAACCACACTTCATTTTTGTACTATTTAATGATACTGCAATGACAGTATTTGGCATTAAATGATTATTGAGGTGTTTCTGTAGGCCTCTACATGTTCAATATTCAAGGATTTTACAACCAGAAACATTATTAGGTTGTGCCTATACACCTCTTGCATGTAAGTTTTTTTTTTAAGAAAAAAAAAGGACTGTTTGCCTTTGCAATTTTTTCTGTTATGTTTTAAAGGAGTAGAGAACCTAAAAACATCTCATGCTTTAATGTGCTTCACAACACTACAAAAAAAAAAAAAAATCTCGGGGTATGTTCAAAGCATTGTCCAGGGAACTTAGCCAACTGCCTCCCATTAGCATGAATGGAAGTTCAGCTGACTTACTACTCTCCACTTTGAACATTTGCCCCGTAATGTTTTTCTAACTCCAAATAAAAAGTTAACACTTAATTATCCCATGACTTTGGAATTTTGGAGCAAAGTGGTTTTTTGTCTGATTAATTCCAAAGTGAAGCCAAATTCATA